CAGTTTAATGGGGGTTAAGAGTTTGTGTTTTTAGTAAATATTCAGAAGAAGAGCGGCGCTGCACAAATAAAGCATGGTTTGCTTTTCCATAGTAGTAAACTCGTTTGCTTTGATTGGCGTAGTTCGGCACCCTAGGTGTAGTGTCGTTTGACCCAGTTGTTACCAGCACCGGACTGTCCGAAAACGAAGTTATTCGGTCGGAACAGCTGTCCAAATGGTCCCGGTTGGACCAAATCCATAGTTCCCGGCTCCAGGTTGATCAGAACCGCTCGTTGAACGTACTTTCCTCCGGTCACAGGAGTCTGAGTAACGACTTTAATCACGGAGCTGGATCCGGTAATGTTGAGATTGATTGGGTAGTGTTGCTATGCAAGCGATTGCCCCGATTTTTTTATGTACCTACTTCTTCGGACAGGCAATAGGATTTGCACTGACTGTACATTGTGGAATTCAATTCGATTTTGGAGAATCTCTGGCGGGACTTGATGAAGATTCACGGTTGTGGTTTGTTAAAATTGGATTGTATTGTGGCAACATCAATAACAAATTTTGACACATGCACACTGCGCAGGCGCAGAAAAAGTTCAGTGTTGCCAGTAGCTTTAAAGATCATAAAATTGTAACCATGGGTGCCAAACAGCGCCAATGACTGCGCCCGGGTGTGCTCAAGTTTGATTTTGGCACACTGTGTAGAGTGACCAACCCCTTGGCTTGAGAAGTTTTACAGCTTTTACCCCGCTCCTTTACAAAGCTGAACTATCTAGTCGAGAAAAGTGATTCATGTGTACTATTATAAAGCCTCTACTCAGCGATCTTGTTGTAGAAGGTCATGTATATTTGTTTACGTCAGTTCAAAGTGTTGGCGTAGCGGAGTTGGTAGTGTCCGAGGTAGTGTCAAGGTTTGCCAATTCCGGTGGTGTGCTTATAACTAATTTCGAGTAATTTGATTCACAGCTAAATAAAATCAATAAATTTCCCCCATCAAAAAAGTAGATAATATTTAACTCGGCTTCAGGATCAAGCTGTGGTGTAGTGATTATTGGATAATGGGGAAAAGGTAGAATAAATGCCTTTCAAGTTCACACACAACTAAACAGCAGAATAACAGCTGTTTAGAAGCGTCCCAAAAGCCATAAGTAGCTGACTAAGCTCGCCAGATTTGCTTGTATAGAGGTTGAGTAAAGGTTACCTCATATCGTATAGCATTTGAATACAGCTTGAGGCTGTATAAATGAAATGAGCAAAGCGTTTACATTGTGAAAATTGTTAGTTGGGGAGCCTTTCCATCCTTCTGGATCCAGTCGGCCGTCGGTACACCAGGCTTGGCTTCCTCCTTCACAACAGAGGAGGTCAGCTGCTCCTTCACCAAGAAGAGCTCCATTTTAAACTTCCACACCGCGAAATTATTGTCATTCAACTTTTCGAACGATACTTTTACGTCCACCATTAAGTTTTCACACACGAACGCAACGCCACTACCGAACCGAAAAAATGTCCTTGAGCTCCAAACACGATTTCACCAGAAATGTTCCTGTCGTACAGCTTCCACGATACTGCTGGGCCCATAACCTATTAGGCCCTAGATTGGGCTGTGATATAAAAACAGTGGACATAAGTATGCGAGGAACTTTTGTAGTCAATTAAACACTTTATTGGTAAACTATTAACAACAACAATGCTCTCACTTGAATGGTGCTTTAACGAATGATGACAAGGTAGGCGGAGCTGTCGGTTTATGTAGAAAGCTTTAGTTTTGACAGCATAGCTTTGATGGCAAGGGCATCTCGATTGTTGCTCCTACCTATAGTCGCTATATTCATAGTCTGGCGGATATAATCTCGAGAACCAATTGAGCTGTCAAATAGCGGAACCAATCGAGCAAATCACGACCAACAACAGAAAAGAGCACATCAGCTAATGCGAACAAATCTTTGGAAACCCTTTTCTCGTGACTCAAGGCTCGCCTACGCAAACTAACACACAAACTTAGGTTAAGAAAAGTTTCCCCTATCCAATGATGCCGGTAATTTGCGTTCGATTAGCGAGGAAAGAATAATCAACATTTGTTTATAAAAGTTGATAGTACCTTTTCAATTGTTTGGCTTTTTGATAGATCGAAATTCTATCCGCCAGACTATGAATATAGCGACTATAGCTCCTGCATTATCGTAACGGTTATTGTACATTGACGGTCATCCTCGCAAAACCGTCACATCTCAGAAATCACTTGGAAACACCTCTACCTTACTAGACCGTCTTCATAAAAGCTATCCATGACAGTTAGATTAAATGACAAGGAGAGAGTAGCAAAATCATTCACATCTCTGTTGGGCATTTATAAGTGGGAAGTTAGAATAATGTTCACTAAAGTTGTAGTTGTAAATAGTAGTTATAAGTAGTCTCCTTTTTCAAATTTTAAAACAAACCAATCCCACCAAGGTGGTCATTCTCTAAAACAGGCCTGATAGGACTAGGAACTGTAATTAATAATAATTGAAATTTCACAGGAACTAAAGTTGAAAAGACGCATCTGTATCACTTGATAAGTTATACATGTAAACCACACAAATTCAAGAAATATAGATCATTTTAAGTAATGCTCACTCATGTTCCTGTTCTTGCTAAAAGTTGTTGAGTTCAGAACATACGAAACATTTTGAAGAAAACGTTGGATTTTCATTTTCCTTATAACAAATAAATATGTGGATGCTATTACGTTACAATATCCGTTTATCTTAAAACAATTCAAGGGGAAGCTCACCGCTTCGAAAATAATAATTACGTTTTGATTTTTCTAAAAATATTGAAAAAAAGTATCAAAAATCTAAAAAAATCACATTTTTTCTAATTTTTTAAAGAAAATTCACGTGCAAAAACATGTTTTATAAGTCATTATGGCATAAAGTTGGACTCAAAAAACCACAAAACATCAACTTTTCGGTTTTTCTGAGAGTTCAATTTTTTTTCATGATGGGATAGAAAAAAATTTTTTGCATGTAATTTTTGACAAAAATCTAAGGAAGAAACTGATTTTCTTGGATTTTTGATAATTTTTCCCAATATTTTTAGAAAAATAAAAACGTACCGAAAATATTTTTTTATTTTTGGGTCGGTGAGCTTCCCCTTAAAGCCACTTTCACTTTTTTTTATGATCCATCGGCAATATCAATTCTCTTTTACGCACGCGTCATTGTTTACGATGCTTAGGCTCTGAACCATTTGGTGGATTATTTTAACTTTTGGTTAAAATTTGACAGATGGAAAGTTATCGATTAACCCTGCTATCCGAGCGTGGTTATTTCTGACAGACAAAAAGTTAAATTTTGACAACCGTGGCTGAGTTCTTCTCGAAAACCGGTCGATCGACAGCACAGGGATTTTCGAACATCAAGAATAACTTTCGAAATGTCACTTTTAACCACGAGTTAAATTTAACTCGGCAAATGGTTCACAGCCTTAATAAATCTCAAAACTGGCACAACTCACAATTCACAAGCTCACGATAATTTTACTGTCAAAACAAATTTCACTTCAACGTTATTACGTTTCATACGAAAAGTGAAGCGAAAAATCTTAAATTTTCGAATTGCTCCGAAATATTGCAAGGAACCAACATGGAACTTTGACAAATTAGTGCGAAACCAAACTTTTTGTCAGTGCAAACCTCAACCTGAGCTGGATTTTTAAAAACAAACGATCAAACTGACGTTTATCCGAAAACAAGCAGATCCAATCTTGATACCCGATCCAGGTTGGAACTGCGTTTCCTTACGGAGTTCAAAGTAATGATTTGAAGTTTTCTTTGTTGATGGATACCAATGGTTGCTTTGATTGCTAGCCACAATTTCAATATTTAGAGGGGAATTCCTATTTACGCAAGGATTTTTTATTGGTTTTGCTTTTTACGGATCCCTTGATACTTTGGCTTCGGTAATGTGGATACGATATGCGGTCAGCATCCTTATTCTTGGAGCTCAAGCGTCACAGTATCCGAAAAAATGAATAACTGCAAAATCTCTATCCATGAATAAGCATTTGTGACTGCAGGTAGTACGTGTTCATGCAGATATGAATTCTCACAATAATAATTACTGGTTATGATACGATTTTATAACGCAGGATAAGACTTTTTCCTTGATACATCACAGCTATCGCCTCATCCGTGATTTTGGAATGTCTGTTTATTTTTCCTCGGTGATATGATGGTAACACATGGCAGATGTTAGTGATATTGCGAATGAGTGAGAAAAGCAAAACAACGCTATCTCACCGTTGTTGTGCCATGCTGAGGAGAAGTTTTACGAAGAGAGGGTTCTCAGTTGTTTTGATTGTTAACCGTAGGAATCTCTTTTGTCAATCTAAAGGCTGGCAGTACCGTGATGCAACTCAGCACTGCGTCCTACCTGTGGTGGATGCCAACCCTGCGCGAGCCCGGATATTTATCCATGAGCGATTATAAACATTGAGGATCAGCATAAATGCGATCACGCCACCCGGGCGATGAACGCATTTATGCTGATGCGACGAAAAGGGTCACGTAGGCACCACAGCCCGCGAGCTTGCGCTCGCTAAAGAATTAATGAATAAATGAGTCGAGTTTTGTAGCTGAACTGGAATGGTAGTCCCGGGCCGTTAAGACCAGAAACTGAAGAAGCCATAAGCCCCCCACAAAAAGGGCAATTAATTATCATATCGTTTCATACCAATACAAAAGTCATAACTTGTTGCCAAACTCATGGAATTTTGACACCTTGATAGGCACAATTTGATTGACCTTGATAGGTAAATACGTTCGGCACAGCTCAATCTCTCGGCACGAATCAAGGTGTGTGGAGTTGAATACCCCTTGGGTGTTTAACTAATATTATGACGAGTGTTAATAGCTGGATAGATTTCCGAGCAAAAGTTAATGATATATTTCATGTAGGTTTGACGGTGTTAAAAACTCATTTTTTTGGTAGGATTTTCTTTCGTCCTACTTCCAGCAAAATATGTCCAGCTTTTTTTTCAATTAAATCACTTTACCAATTGCACTTTGTTCACGAAATCTTCTGGTTTGACTGTTCACTTATCCTAATTTTCCGACAGAAAAAAAAATCACCTTCAGTTCAAAGGATTCCTGATTACAAACTATATAGGACCTTTTCGTTTTCGCTTAACAATTATGACTTTTTCAACAACAGGCATCAGTTTAATGGGGGTTAAGATTTTGTGTGTTTTAGTAAATATTCAGAAGAAGAGCGGCGCTGCACAAATAAAGCATGGTTCGCTTTTCCATAGTAGTGACCTTGTTTGCTTTGATTGGCGTAGTTTTTTGATTTTTTCTTCCTTATAGGTTTTGGTTCCTCACAACGTTTCTCACAACCGTCAGATGATTAGAGAGTTTTTGTTTCCACTTGGGACTGTTTGTCTAAACATGCTGATCTATCAACGCGATGACAATAAATATACTTTTCCATGATTTTCATCGATTCCTATCACCGTCTTTCATCACCGATTGAAGGCGTTTTTGTTTCGTTAATTTTTTTTCTCGCTATATGCTGAATTGTCATGAGTGGAAGATAATCCGTTATGTTATTTTTTTAATCCTATTCGAACGCACACCATGTTCAAATCAGAGATTTCGACTGACTTAAGCTAAAATGTAGTAAAAAGTACGAGGCGCAGAATTCGTGATTGTATAACTTTAGGCGAGTTTGTGAAAGATTTTAAATATTTTCTTAACGTCAGACGGGTAAAATTAAACAACAGTTGCTGTGATGATTCGTTTGTTTGTGTTGCTTTGTGTTCTGTTCTTAAATGCTCGAATTTAGAATAAACTGTCCATTTCAAACTCCTTGGGATGGCCATTTCAAGCTGAAAAAAGGTTAAATTTTTGATTACGCTATATCCTACTTAAAAAATGATTGCCACAAAACAAAAGCTCTTCAAAACCTGAGCTGCAATCGGTAAACGTAAACAATACGTAGGTTAGGTTCACTCAAAACAACACTTCGGGATCGAAAAAGGTCAGAGAGGATAGGCTAAATTAGCATGCACGAGGGTTCGGACAAAGCTTGCCCATGCAGAATCAGAAGCACAACACTTTATTTTCGCTTTCGGAAACTTACTTGGGATTTTTGGATTTCTTCAACTAAAGCAAATGAAAGTTTTGGTTTTTACAGTACGCAGTTTTTGCAAGAAATCAAGGGGGGTCTCTACTCGTAAAATACGGGCAATGACGCTCTTAGGAATATGAAAAACGAAATGAACGGAAGAAGAGAAAATAGGTTCAGATGTGTGGAAATCAAGACAAGCGTCAGCAAATTGTGAACGATGGAAGGCAAATGACAATACTTACAGTTGTACCGAAAGGATTTTCGGATTGGGACACGCCTGAGGAGTCCGCACGTGACATGGCTTGTGGCACTGGATGAAACAATCGCGGCATTCGTAGCCCTGTTTGCCGGGACGGCGCCCGATGCTGCGGTTGCACACGTGGCACAGGACTCCGCTGTAAGAACAGAACTCTGAATTCGAATCCGGGACGAATAATCATCCACCCCAATGCTCACCCCTTGATGTGCTTCGCTATGAAGGTGTGGTCGTTGTAGATGTGCAGCTTGACGCCCTTGCGCTTCCATGCCTTCTGCCGCAGGGCGATCTCGATTGGGACCAGATAGTGTCGCAGGACGTTATTCTCCAACGTTTCTAGTAGCAGCGTGGACTCCTCGTGGAGGAAGGTCCGTCCGCTGGCATTTGAGATTCCCGACACGGCAGACGATTCCGAAATCGACGACTTCCGAGAGAGGCTTTTGAAGATGGATCCTGTGAAGTAGCAAGGGGAGGATGGTGGTGAATCCGGAATTCAAGGTTGCTATCGAACATAAGTTATCGGATTGACACCAAAGGATGAAAACGAAAGAAGGTTCTTACGCTGATCCATTGAGGAACCACGGCTAAGCGTCGACGAGGCACTGTGAATCTGTCCCACTTGCGTCGGACTGTACTGGGAGTTGTCCAGAGATTTTGACTTTTTCGAGAGTGACAGTTTGTTCCGCAGGGTACCGAAAATGTTGCGTGGCTTCTTGTCCATTTTGCTGACATCGTACGGGGCGCTGTTGCTCAGGGTGGCACTGATGGACTGCGAAGCCGAGGACAGCGCTGGCGAAACCGGAGTGGATTCGGACTGATGCTTAGTGCCATTCATGCCATAGTCGGTTGCTGCGGGGGGCTTTAGGAAGGAGTTGTTCTGGAGATGAGAGACGAAAGAAACGCGGGAGGAACATTGAGGGATTAGCACAAAGTGAGGGTGTCAGGCTGTTTATTTTGTCCAAGTTGAGACATCAAACATTTAGGAAGATGTGATGCGTTTCCTCTGAGCTCACAATTTCAACGGAGACGCATGGTGTGTTGCAACATGAGATAGTGTTATCTGGCCAAGGCAAACTTTGAGCACACCAAGGTTTGTTGGATTGTTGTTGATTTAGAGTAGGTACAGGATCTTTGTATACTCACTAATCTGTTGGTGTTGGCTGCCAGGAAGCGCTTGTTCCGGTCGCTGAAACTGGAACTGTTGGTGAGACCTGCGGCAGTTTTGGCGGGTGTTGTGGGCGCCGAAGCGACGGCATGTTTTCCTCCAGCTCCTGGCAGGGTACCGACAGTATGGGGTTGGGTGGCATTCGGGGTGCTGGCGGTCAAATTGTCGATTCCGTCTGTGAAATAGAAAAGCCAGATTGGTTTCAATTATTAGATGAGCGCCTTGGGATGGTTTTAAACGATGTTAGAGAAAGAAGACAAGTCAACGAGCCAAGTGATTATTAGTGTATGCTTGGTGAATTAAAACAATGGTTCATTATATAATGAAGTCTATGAATAGACGGATTACTAGCATTGCATTAGTTAGGCTAACTTGATGGAATGCAGGGTAGTCTACGAGTACTTTTTAAATGGCACAAAACTGCCAGATTCCTCTGAATGGAACAAGTTAAATCGAGCATGTAACTTCAAATCTGGAAACAGGGTTGTCACAGGAGGATAAATAAAATAAAAATTTTGACTCGACCTGCTCCGATTTGCATGAAACTTTGCATAATTCTGTGTAATTTTGGTTGCAAAAATTTGGTAATTTTTGATCCTGTATTTTTTTAAATGGTGTTTTTGACAATTTTTTTTATAAATTGTAGCACGCAAACTTCCTTCTAATCGAAATGACGTCTGAGACAAAGTTGTTTAGAACAGTTAAGTCTTTCAATGAAAAATACACACGATATTTTTTAAAGTAATTTTGAGTAAAAATTAAAAAAAAATAGTGTAAAAAACTGAAATATTTTTAAAAGCATAGGATAAAAGGATGTAATGTCGGCCTAAATGCCCTTAATTTGGGCCCATACATAAATTCAATAATCGACTAAATTTTCAATAGCGACTAAAAATATCCATTAGAACCGTCCCAATGACGCGTTCCTCTAGATAAAATTGATAAATAGCAGATTCTTAGCGATGGGCCCAATCTTAGATCCATAGGCCAACATTAGAGCCATTTCCCCTATAGATTTCAATATGGCGTCGAACATCTATTTTCGGTCTCTAGACGTCATCACGAATCCAAAAAAACACGCATTGAAGGGTATTTGGAAGAATTTCCCAGTCCGAAAATACCTAACGAACCCAACTTGCATGATGCACGATACAAGAAGATATTTCGTAGATTGATTCGCTAGTGTGAGATTTTTCGAGCATCCGGAATTGCGATTTAGATGTGACGCCCCTCTCGTATTTTACAGTATTTCCAAGGTTTCCTGTAACCGAAAGCCACCATTTTTTATTTGAAGATGGCTTCGAACATCGATATCCGGTCTCTAGGCGTCATTCAGATTCCGAAAACACTCATATGGAAGGATATTTTACAGGATGTCCCAGTTTTTCTGTAACCGAAAGCCGCCATCTTGGATTTTAATATGGCATCGGGCATCGGTTTTCGGTATCTTGGTTCTGAAAATACTCATATTGAAGGGTATTTGATAGTATTTCCCAGTTTTTCTTTAACCGGAAGCCATCATCTTGGATTTCAAGATGGCGTCGAACGTCGATTTCCGGTCTCTACTACATACTCATATTTCAAATATGCCACTCGCTCAGTGAACAGCACACCAAGGAGTATTCAACTCTGCACACCTTAATCTGTGTCAAGAGTTCTGGTAGTGCCGAAAGCTGTGCCAAGCATTGTGCCGATCATTCCGAAGTAGGCCGAAGTGTATTCACCGACAAACCGACATGAATGACCATAGCAAAAACAATAAAATTTCTGACCAAAGCACACTACTGACATTTGGCTCCGTGTTCGCGGGAAATATTTAGCTAAGCCATGAACCCGGATGCAACATTCATGAGTTGGTTTGTGTCTGGTCTGTTCTGGACAAATTATTTTTATCTAGATAAAAAATTCCTATGGTTTTGACAGTTTACGATTTTCGGGCATAACTCAGAATTAAGTGTCATGTCGGTTTGTCGGTGGTGTATCAATCAAGGTGTCAATATCCCATGAGTTTGGCAACCCTGAAGTTAGACTTTTGTGATTGTGTTTACATTTTAAATTTATCTAATTCATGACCATGGTTCATGGCAAATATTAAACTTCATTCTCCCATTAGAATGAGCGCGGATTGGGCAGTGGAAGAGGAACTGGAAGCAATACAACCTATACGACCCGTCTACAAGAAACGGACGGTCGACGAAATTTTCACCAGCTGGCAGTAAAATGCTCCCCGAAAAAATCAAACCCAGAACTCGAACGGACGAAAGTTCACTGCCACCCAAGAAACAACATCCTCGAAACAGTTCTGATCGACTCAGAACTACGCAACCTTGAAGACATAAACCAAGCCTATCGTATCGCAGATTGTGATGTCTCCTACCATCACCCAATTACACACGTTCAAGTTCACGATCCTTTGCAGATGTGATACCTTCTACAAGGTACCACCAATCAAAACCTATGGCCAATGTACCACCAGTGAAAACCATCTAATGTTCCCCCACTTCATATCTGTCATACCTCGGAAATGGTGCACGATCCAGATAAACTTCGCATCTGCAGTTCAACTGTACCCTATGGTTGTTGTTGTTCATCTGCACGCCCATGGGATCTTGCCGAACAGCAAATTACTTAGTGTAGTCATGCGTCATGCACTTTCAAGGCCTTATAAATCCTAAACTGTTTCGCTAAGGCAATCGTCCAGACCTGATGAAATATTTGGGATTAATGCGTATCGACATCCCCCAATAAGTACTGGGACTTGTATGGACATCCCTATAAAGTCCTGTGGATTTTCCATCGAAGTCCATACCAATTTAAATCAATGACTGGCAAGGATAGAGAAAACGATCCTCCGCAGCTGACACAATATTATCGTCGTTCAAATGATTGTTCGTATTGGACGATCTTACAGGCATTTGGTCAACCTTTGCTGGAGGAAACCCATTTTGGCCATCATGACTGTCCTCTCAACTGACCATGGTGTGGAAGAACTCTGTTGGCGTGAAGCTATTCTGGACGAAACCACGAGCCGCTGGGATTTTCGCTACGAATCGGATGAGATAAACTTAGTTTCATGATGCAGACAGGTGCAGGCAATACTCACAGCATTTTTCCTTGGAATCCAAACCCAATGTGAAGCCCAATGGAGTAAACCAAGAAGTCAACCTTAGCAACGATTGGCAAAACGTCAACTCTCGACTGTGATGCCGTTTTATATTATGTAGATTTTATCCTACTTGTCAACGTTTGTCCTAAAGAGCCGAATAGAGTGCCATGCTATGTTTCGGCACAGTGTGCAGAGTTGATTGCCCCCTGCAGCACACATGAATTCGCAAATCAACTTCAGGCATCAGGAGAGATTCGGGAAGATGAAGTCATGGTTTCATTTGATGTCACAGCACTTTTTCCGAGTGTACCAGTAAAGGAAGCCATTTGACTTTTGGAAGGCTGGCTTCTGATGCAACGTGAGGATTCTACTTGGAAAAACAAAGTTCGGTCATATCTCAAGCTTACTAGTCTTTGTATGGAGGAAAATTATTTCATTTTCAGAGGAAATTTTTATACACAAACTAAAGGTGCTCTTATGGGCAATCTGCTTTTCCTATTTTTATGTGAATTGTTGCCCTAGTGTTGGCATATGTACGTGGATGCCATTTTTAGCATTTTCAAAAGGGAAGATTTATCAAAAAATTTGGAGAGCATAAGCAACGTTCACAAGGACATCAAATTTACTCACGAAGAAGAGAAAGACGGCAGACTCCACTTCTTAGATCTTCTCATCATCAAGGAAACGTTTTCGTTGAATTTCGAAATCTATAGGAAGCCAACAAATACAAAGAGAGTAATACCAAGCTCTTCAAGCCATTCCCATCAACACAAAATGGCCGCTTTTCACCACATGGTTTACAGGATGTAAACTCGTCCTCTTAAGGTGCCGCCACACGGAGGCTATTTCTAGTATATAGCGAGCTATGTGATGGAAAACTATATTATAGCCCATAGGAACACCTAAACTATGACGTGATAGCTCATAGTTATGACTTGCAAGTTATAATTTAGAGCTATGACATAGAGCCGAATTCATTGTCGTGTGTACACTCTAGCGATAGTTTCTATATCATAGATGCAAGCTAAAAACTATTCCATCAAGCCGGAATAGTTCATAGTTTATTGGTTATAAAGCACTGCGCGAAACCTAACCTAAATCTCCCCGTCCCTTTTCCTCACCAGCGAGTTTTGACAGTTCTGCTGGGTTTATTTTGGCTCCCGTTCGTTGTTATCTCTTTTACTGTCATGGCAAAAATTGAGGTTAGATTTTGCGTGCAGTGCTCTATAGCTTTTTGACAGCAGTCTGTGCGCGGTGCTTCGGAAAAGTACTCAATTCATGAAACTGATCGTAGAGCTCCACGGGTTTTTAGAAACCACTCATAGACGTATTATCACAATAAATTCGGAGTTGTGACAAGAAAATTTATACTGGGACCACGGGATGGTCCACTAAAAGATCTGGAACATCCGTAAAAGTGGTCAATTCATGAAAATGATCCTAGAGCTCCGTGTTTTTTTTTTAGAAATCACTCATGGACATCTTATCAAAATTAATTTAAAGTTTTGGCCAATCAAGGGATTCTGGAGACCACTTATAGATCCGGAACATTCATAAAAGTGGTAAATTCATGAAACGATACAGGCAAATCAAAGGACATAGCTCACATTTTTGAAATCGCTAGACTTAATGGGTATTAAGAAAAAACAATTCAGGCAGTAATCGATAAAAGAACAAGGGTTAGACGTACTTTGACAACTCTTAAACCAGTAACCTAGAGTTTAAGATGGGTAGCGATGAATTTCGACAAAAACATTATGAAACCATTGAGTTCGAAGTTTAGAAGTTTTGCCCTAGATTAAGTATTCAGCAGCAGGACAGATCAACTGAAGTCAGCTTTTTTTATCTTTATTTAAGGGATTTTTAGCTATAGGTTAGTTCATCTCTTAGCTGAAGTCAGCGTTAGGATCAACAAAATGTCTTAGGAAAGCCGATGTCTACTAAATTTCTTGTCCGGATTGCAATAATTACATTACATTGGTCAGACGAAAAGAACTTTGGAAACAAGGTTTAAGGAACACATCGCAGAAGTAAAAAAGGCTAACAAAGAAATGGATAAAGGATTTCAT